GTCGGCCGTAACCTTGTAGCTGGACTATCAATCCCCGAGGTCGGCTGTAGCCTTGTAACTGGACTTTCAGTCCCCGAAGTTGGCCTTAACCTTGTCGCTGGACTATCAGTCCCCGAGGTCGGACGTTTCCTTGTAGCTGGACTATCAATCCCCGAAGTCGGCCTTAACCTTGTAGCTGGACTATCAATCCCCGAGGTCGGCTGTAGCCTTGTAACTGGACAATCAGTCCCCGAGGTCGGCTGTAGCCTTGTACCTGGACTATCAGTCCCCGAGGTCGGCTATATCCTTGTAACTGGACTATCAGTCCCCGAAACCGGCCTTAACCTTGTAGCTGGACTATCAGTCCCCGAAGTCGGCAATAACCTTGTAGCTGGACTATCAATCCCCGAGGTCGGCTGTAGCATTGTAACTGGACTATCATTCCACGAAATCGGCCTTAACCTTGTAGCTGGACTACCAGTCTCCGAAGTCGGCAAAAAAATTGTAGCTGGACTTACAATCCCCGAGGTCGGCTTAGCCTTGTACCTGGACTATCAGTCTCCGAGGTCGGCTGAAGCCTTGTAACTGGACTATCGGTCCCCGAAGTCGGCAACAATCTTGTAACTGGACTATCAGTCCCCAAAGTCGGCAATAACCTTGTAACTGGACTATCAGTCCCCAAAGTCGCCTTAACCTTGTAGCTGGTCTATCAATCCCCGAGGTCGGCTGTAACATTGTACATGGACTATCAGTCCCCGAGGTCGGCCATAACCTTGAAAATGGACTATCCGTCCCTGCGGTGGGCCATAACCTTATAGCTGGACTATCAGTCCCCGATGTCGGCCATAACATTGTAGCTGGACTAACAGTCCCCGAGGTAGGCTATAATATTGTAGCTAGACTATCAGTCCCCGATGTCGGCCTTAACCTTGTAGCTGGACTACTAGTCCCCGAGGTCGGTTGTAACCTTGTATCTGGACTATGAGTCCCCGACGTTGGCCGTTACCTAGTAGGTGGATTTTGAGTCCCCGAGGTTGAGGTCGGCCTTCTTGTTAAGAATAAATATTTTTTCAGTCAAACGTCGTAAATTTGTACAGCTAAAATAGGTTTTATATATATGTTTTCCCTTTTCTAATTTTCTACACATGTTTTGGAACATTTTAAGACCCGAATTGGCATTAATAATGTTAATTTTATGTGTCGGCCATAACTTTGTAGCTGGACTATCAGTCCCCGGGGTCGGCCGTAACCTTGTAGCGTGACTACCAGTCCCTGAGGTGGGCCATAACCTTGTACCTGGACTATCCGTCCCCGAGGTTGGCCATAACCTTGAAAATGGACTAACAGTCCACGCTGTCGGCCATAACCTTGTATCTGGACTACCAGTCCCCGAGGATGGCCCTAACCTTGTAGCTGGACTACCAGTCCAAGAGGTTGAGTTCCCGATAAATAAATAATAAATATGCAACATTTGATATAGCGCCCTATCTAGATAACATAAACCACTCTAAAGCGCTTTACAGTGTCGGTCATAACCTTGTAACAGAACTACCATTACCCGTGGTTGGCCGTAACCTTGTAGCTGGACCACCAGTACCCGCAGTCGGCCTTTGTCTTGTAGCTGGACAATCAGTCCCCGAGGTCGGCAATAATCTTGAAAATGGATTAGGAGTCCCCGCTGTCGGCCATAACCTTATAGCTGGACTACCAGTCCCAGAGGTCGACGTAGGCCATAACATTATAGCTGGACTATCAGTCCCCGAGGTCGGCCATAACCTTTAAAATGGACTAAGAGTCCCCGCTTTCGGCCATAACCTTGTAACTGGACTACCAGTCCCAGAGGTCGAGGTCGGCCATAACCTTGTATCTGGACTACTAGTCCCCGAGGTCGAGGTAGGCCATAAAATTGTACCTGGACTAACAGTCCTCGATGTCGGCCTTAACCTTGTAGCACGACTACTAGTCCAAGAGGTCGAGGTCGGCCATAACCTTGTAGCTGGACTATCAGTCACCGAGGTCGGCCATATCCTTGAAAATGGACTAAGAGTCCCCGCTGTCGGCCATAACCTTGTAACTTGACTACCAGTCCCAGAGGTCGAGGTCGGCCATAATCTTGCAGCTGGACTAACAGTCCTCGAGGTAGGCCGTAACATTGTAGACTATCAGGCCCCAAGGTCGGCCATACCAGTGTAGCTGGACTAACAGTCCTCGAGGTAGGCCATAACATTGTACCTGGACTAACAGTCCTCGATGTCGGCCTTAACCTTGTAGCTGGACTACCAGTCCCAGAGGTCGAGGTCGGCCATAACCTTGTAGCTGGACTATCAGTCCCCGCTGTCGGCCATAACCTTGTAACTGGACTACTAGTCCCAGAGGCCGAGGTCGGCCATAATCTTGTAGCTGGACTAACAGTCCTCGAGGTAGGCCGTAACATTGTAGACTATCAGTCCCCAAGGTCGGCCATACTCGTGTAGCTGGACTAACAGTCCTCGAGGTAGGCCGTAACATTGTAGACTATCAGTCCCCAAGGTCGGCCATACCAGTGTAGCTGGACTAACAGTCCTCGAGGTAGGCCGTAACATTGTAGACTATCAGTCCCCAAGGTCGGCCATACCAGTGTAGCTGGACTAACAGTCCTCGAGGTAGGCCGTAACATTGTAGACTATCAGTCCCCAAGGTCGGCCATACCAGTGTAGCTGGACTAACAGTCCTCGAGGTAGGCCGTAACATTGTAGACTATCAGTCCCCAAGGTCGGCCATACCAGTGTAGCTGGACTAACAGTCCTCGAGGTAGGCCGTAACATTGTAGACTATCAGTCCCCAAGGTCGGCCATACCAGTGTAGCTGGACTAACAGTCCTCGAGGTAGGCCGTAACATTGTAGACTATCAGTCCCCAAGGTCGGCCATACCAGTGTAGCTGGACTAACAGTCCTCGAGGTAGGCCGTAACATTGTAGACTATCAGTCCCCAAGGTCGGCCATACCAGTGTAGCTGGACTTTGAGTCCCCGATGTTGGCCGTTACCTTGTAGCTACATTGTAGACTATCAGTCCCCGATGTCGGCCTTAACCTTGTAGCTGGACCCCGATGTTGGCCGTTACCTTGTAGCTGGACTTTGAGTCCCCGATGTTGGCCGTTACCTTGTAGCTGGACTTTGAGTCCCCGATGTTGGCCGTTACCTTGTAGCTGGACTATCACTCCCCGATGTTGGCCGTAACCTTGTATCTGGACTATGAGTCCCCGAGGTCGGCCCTAACCTTGTATCTGGACTATGAGTCCCCGATGTTGGCCGTAACCTTGTAGCTGGACTATGAGTCCCCGATGTTGGCCGTTACCTTGTAGCTGGACTTTAAGTCCCCGAGGTTGTGGTCGGCCTTCTTGTTAAGAATAAATATTTTTTCAGTCAAACGTCGTAAATTTGTACAGCTAAAATAGGTTTTGTAGATATGTTTTCCTTTTTTCTAATTTTCTACACATGTTTTGGAACATTTTAAGACACGAATTGACATTCATTATGTTTATTTTTGGTACCACTAATGAGTAATGGGTATGTATTGACCGTTGACCATACTGACCATATTGACGAAAGTACAATAATGTGTAAATGTTGTTTACTTTGCTTGGCTACATCAACTAATGGAATTAATGAACACGTGCTTCCGTGCTTCGTATGTATGGTGATAATTGACGTCACAATGTGGGTGGATCTACTGGTGGAAATCAGTCCCTGAGGTTGGTCGTTACATTGAAGCTAGACGTTTTTCTGACACAGTTTACATGTCGTAATTGTTCATGCGGGATTTATCTTTTGATGTAAAGAAGGGTTTGATATGCACATCAGTTGACCTGCCGTTGTATCGAACATTTCTACTTTGACCATATATGTTTTAACTAGAAAACACGTCTTAAGAGACTCAAGTATACGTAAAGGCATACAGCCATTGAATCAACTGATAGTATTTAATTTAAAATTTGTTAAAATTTCCTTATAACGCAATATTTATTTCAACCCAATTTTACAACCTTTTAATGGATATCTTAACTTTTGTCATGAATCGAAATGAAAGGAAATGATAAAACTATATTTAAACCACTCTCAATAAATAATACTGAAAATGAATAATAAAGAAATAAATTATATGCAGTTGCGTCCACACCAGGACAAAACTGGATGCTGATACTTTGCTGCTAAGGAAATGAAACTAAATTATTATTGTGAAATTAAAAAAAAACATGTTATAAGTCGACCATCCATGCCATACAAGAAGGTAATATGCTAGTACAGTTAATCATGTTCAAAATAATACTACATTCCACCAACTTCAGTAAAAAAAGTTTTCGGCTAAATTATTGCAATATTATACCTTCTGTGTATGTTTCTCGGACACTTTGCTTATACATGGAATGTGATATTCTAGGTGTAATGGAGTGGGGTAGGGGAGGGGGCAGAATTCAATTATTTTAGTGTCTCAAAAGGACTTAATTATATCTAAGACTGACTTATACCCGTATTGTAATTATCACAAACCTACGTTTGTTAATTCGTGCGCACGGATAAGTAAATGTTTTAGTATGTCCCTTTAGCTATCATATATTGGGGAAGAACTAATAATGAGAATAGAAAGATAACTCCTGGTAACTGGTACACACCGAGTTTTGTTAATTCGTGCGCACGGTTTGGTAACTCGTGCGCACGGATTACTAAATGTTTTACCATGTCCATTCTGGGGCTCCGTAGTACGGGACATTTATCGCAATCGTATTTATAAAATATTTTAAGAAATTGTTTCAAACGTCGAACGATATCCGGATATTATATACCGGTAGTCGTTTCTTCCTTCACTTTGATTTCCGTTCCAACTTCTGGTAGTCGTAAACTATGTAACTTTTTCGGTTAAAGTTGGTCGTAATTTCCATCGTTAATGGAATTCATGTCGAATTACAATCCTGGGAAATGTAAAGAAGAAGTTCATCTATTTGACAAGGATTTGGCAAGTTTGAAGATTATTGTTAGAGTCCTGCAGGAAAGCTGTTGATCGGTCATGGCCGAGGATGGCGCAGAAGTAACTGTTCTTGACAGTTGGGAGGAACTTGACGACAGCAGGGTATTTTACTTTCTAATCAATTTGAAGTTATATGTTTTATATCTTTATCATGCAAACTGGACAGGTAAAAAGCATCTGTTTCATTGGTACGCTATGGAAGAAAAAAATCATGTTGCATTGTCTAGCCCCAGGTATTTTGTTTTTAATTTAATTCTGCCGTCGTACGTTGTAACAGACTTGGTTAGAACTTGGAATCTCTGAGACAGAACCCTACTGTAGATAAATGTTCTAATCAACATGATCTACCTTTCATGAACCCGGCCTGATGGTCTGGAAGAAGGGGGTCTACATATACTCCTTCATTCGGTTCAGGATGACACGGTTCAAGATGATACGGTTCAAGACTTTCCTTGGCAGTGGCGGATCCACAGGTTTTTTTTGGGGGGGGCTTAAGGACCCCCCCCCCCCCCCCGATAGGTCTACAATAGTGTGATCCCTCTATAATTAGAACACTTTCGGAGGTCACCTTTTTTTCGGGAGCTTTATGAGATAACCCTCTTTCCAATCGTCTGGAACTGTTTCCTCCTCCCATATGTTCTTGAAGAAGGGGTATAGCGTCTCCAAACTGGTTTCTGTATCGGCCTTAGCGCCTCTGCAGGAATACGTACCATCTGGTCCAGCTGCTTTGTTCTTGTTGAGCTGTTTGATGGCTCTACAGATCTCCTCTTTGGTGGGTGTGCTGCAATATATATCGGTAGTTCGCTGTCATCTGTCTGGTGGTTTCTGTGGGGGTGGTCTATTTAACAGCTCCTCAAACTGTTCCATCCATCTGTTCCTCTGTCCTTCTTCTTCCGGGAATAGCTCTTCCTATACCTTAATATCCTTAACTGGTCTTTCTGGTTTGCCGTATTTTCCAGATAGTTTCCTAATAGTGGTGTACAGATCCTGCATATTTCCCTGGTTTGCTGCCTTTTCCACTTCATCTGCCATCCCTTCCATATAGCTTGTCTGCCTTTATGCTCCTCCTGACGGTTTTGTTTGCCTCAAAGTACTCCTCTCTTGTGCTTTGGCTTAATCCCCCTTTTCTGTCCGCTATCTGGATAAGAGTTTCTGCAGAGATCCACTCCTTATGGTGATACTTCGAGTGGCCCAGGACATCCTGACTGTATGTTGATATAACTGCATCCTTAACTCCTTTCCATGTTGTCTCGATGTTATATATATCCTCTGCTTGTAACACTTGTAAAGCTTGAAACCTGTTCGAGAGTGTGATCTTAAGTTGAATTCTTGTTTTGCAGTCAACATATTTCAATGTCCCATTTTTCTCGTTTTCTTAAGAATTCTTTTATACATTTACCTCAATTTATCACCAGAACCCCTTAACAAGACCAAAAGTCCTTTAGAGAAATGCTGACAGTATAACAAGGTTTTACTGTAGTTTCAAAATGGAGTATGGTCGGCGGGTAGTATTTATATAATATTTGTATATTTCTGTTGTTTTGGGACAGACATATCCATTACAACTACTGTATATCGTGTGATATATAGTTGTCAATTTATGTATATATGCTGTTATATGTTTCAAACATATAACAACATATTACTGAACAATTATAACATTTATATCATTATAATATTAAATCAGTCATTGCTCTGTATTATACTGCAGAACAAAACTTCTACTGAAATAAAATATTTAAGAATATTTGACAAGAAAATATATTTCATTTAACTTCTTTCATTGAATCATACAGTACAAATGTTGTTCTTCTCCTTGCATTTCCATGTTTTCATATTTCTCTAAACAATGTCAATTCCAATAATACATCAAAATAATTTGAAGTATGTCAGGTTGGAATGGCATGCTTTTCTGCCCTGTGGTACATATACTCTTGTTAAAATTTGTCTGAGAGATAGTATTAGTGATATGAAATTGTCCACTACTAAGTTTCCCTGTCATTTCTGATTGTCATGTCAGTACATTTTACTGTTTTAAGTTGAAGATGGCATAATTTTCAATCACTCCTGCTTAGCCTAGGTGTATATATCAGCAAAAAATGGCATTTGGGGACCAGGGTGCAGGCTTGGTTTTTTCTTATGCTTTATATTTACATAATTATGTACCTGTACATTAGTATATGTGGCTTCAATTTGGTAATATTGAAAGAGTTACAGTGTCCTAGACTTATTTAAAACGTTTGCACCAATTATGCACCCAAACTGTTTTCTGTATTTTTTGATTTGTTGTTTAATTTTTTTCAGATTATGAATAAAAAACTGGAAGAAATCAAAATTTCAAACCAAGATGACAAAAAGTAAGTACATGTATAAAGTGTATTTTGTTATTCTCCGTTTTTGAAAAACCAAGAATACTTGATTACATGTGTTCTTTCAACTGCCTCTCTGTCTGCTATATGCTTTTGTTTCTTTTTGTGCAATATATAGCTGCCCAAAAACAAATTTGGTACATAATGCCAAGTCTGAGGCTTAATTTGAAACTGCTATGAAAAGGTTTTATTTTCAACAATTCTGATTGAACATAAAGAATAGGAAGTTTGAGGCTGGGAATGAGTGCCAATGTGATATATGATGATCATATGTATGGTTATGTTAAATGAGGCTTCCCAATTCTGATTGGTTCATTGGTTTAAAATTTCCTTGCAACAACACTGTCACTAATTAATTAGACTATTCAAATTTTGATTTGTTAATCAGTTTCTGTGCAATAACTCTCCTAAAATGGTTCAGTTCCAGCCAAATTTGTTATACATATCCATTTGAATCAAACTCAGAATATAATTAAAGGGAGAGAATAAAAGAACTAAATGGTATTGAGAACTCAAAGTGATGTAAATAGTAAAAATATCATCAGTTGATATTGAATTTCAGAATGACAGGTTCGTTGGTGTTAGAAAATCAGGACAGAACGCAATATCAGCCACAAGTGCGAATACTCAAACGCAGATCAGACCCTGGGGCAACTGCCAGCTCACAGCAAGATGCAAGGTTAGTAATGAATCAAAAAAGGAGTTATATCTGTCTCTCTATAGAATAGATTTTTTTATACATATATATATAGACAAAAGGGCATTTTGTGTCATGTGCGCTCTCCACAGACCTGTGTACATGAGCCCAAGTTGAGCAAGATATCGCCCAGATAGAAACAAATACATATACATAGCAAAGTGTTTTCTCCTGGCTTATATACAGTAGCTACTCTCAGCACTTGGTCATACTATTTAAAAAAAAACCACCAACCAATCATTTTTGTATTGAATGCGAAAATCAACATAGCTGCTTTGGGGTGCAGATGACAAAGCCAAATGCATGGAATATACATCTGAACCCTCAATGAATTGTGTTTATTTTCAACAGAGTATGTTGTTGGGAATTTCTGCCATCAGGCCAGCTAGGGCAGGCCATTGATATAGGCTTACGCTGTACATGTGTGCACACAAGTATCTGCACAGGTATAATTTCTGATCTCCCAGCTTTCCTGAAATTCTAGGATGAACATTGTAACCTTATGAGCTGATTTGGATAGTAATCTTGCTTTCTTTTTCAATGCAGAGCTGATCACCTATTCTTTTTGTCCAATTCAACTTTCTGGCCTCATCAGTTATTGACTTCTGGGTAAAATCCCTTCGCCGTTTTAAATGTTCTGAAAAATATGCCTATTTGAGTACTTCCTTTTCATCCATTTGATTCATGAACTATATGATCATTGGTAAGTTAGTTACATTAAATAGGATGGTTTATTAGGTGGCACAGTAGGGTAGCAGTGTACAGTAGAGGGTTGTGGCCATGGGTAATATTTTTGTTAAATGGCTAACCCCTGTATAATGATATGTAAAAAAATTATAAAAATAAAACTATACTAAAATTGGTATAAGCATGATGAAGTGGGCTATGTGAGCTTCACATTTGTAAAAAAGAAAGAAGATTTTTTTGGTTCGACAATAAAATTTTGGCCATAATCCGAAAGGGTGCGTACACATGAAAAGCTAGCTTTACAGGAGGTAAAATTTTGACAACAGCACACGACGCAAAATTGCAAAAAATCAAGTTTTACAACTTTACTGGGACCCAGATAATTCTGCAACCAGGTAGGTAATCTTTAATTTCAGACAGAGCTTAGGAAAAAAATTACTAGTTGCGGGGGTCAAATTTTGGGTTAAAAATAGCAATTTTTGGCATTTTTTGGTAATTTTTGATGTGGTAACCATGGTTTTCACACAAGTGACATACATAGAAAAAAGAGGTTTATACACTTCTCAGTACTTTATATGTATTGTAAATGTAATGCAGTTTACAAATATATATACATGTATACATGTGTTGTGTAGGGTAAATCCGCTGTGTTTACATTTCCTCGACATGTG